CTGTCGAGAGGAGGCTTCACACTGCTCTGGGGAAAGCTAACAACCTGTGGTTAAGGTTAAGCTTTTGTTCAGGAGTTGGTGTCAAAGATCTGGGAGATTCACAAAGGCCCATGTGAAGCCATCTTCTTTTCTGGTGGAGTGGTTTCCTACAGTGAGTCATGACATTGGTACTTTAATTTTTGGATAAGAAAGTCTGTATGTAGTGGACAATTCTTGGGAAGGCTTTAGTGTGATCACGACACAGTAGAAACAGCAGTAGTGGCTTTGTAGTTTTCTAACAGTGAGGAATTATACTAATGAGAATAAGCCATTGGTTTCTTAGTCATTCCGATATACACTATATGTTATATTTTATATTAAACTAGAGAGTGTTCAGAGAATTAGAAAGAAGAGATGACCATAGAACTTGTATTGCTGGAAAAAAATGAAACCTACGAAGGAATTTATGCAAAGTTTTTGAGAATCTCAGGGAAAAGGCCTCACTCTAAATAGAAGGAAATACATTTCCCATGAGTAGCCTAAAGATTAGGAACAGCTGAGAAGTGACTTTAAAAAGCAAACTTGATTCATGGTGGTGATTTAAAGTGTGTCAATTTCAAGAAGCTATTGTCACGGTCACATTAATAATGGTCAGTGGTTATATAATGCTGAAAAAGCACAGCTTTGTATTTTTAGAAATCTCTCCCCAGGAGATGCTAAAGAGTTGATTTTAAAGACTCCAGCCAAAAATACAACCAAGGGAAGTCTGACCACTGGCAGTGAAAGTTACTCAGTTTAAGGAAGGGGCTGGGGAACAATTAAGCTGGGGAAAATCTAGCATGTGCTAGAGAATAATGCAATTTCCTAGGGCAGCAGATGCCAGAGGGAAACAGTACCCAGGAACAGCCCATCAGATGGTAATTATAGCCAGCCTTGGTAAGAAAGGCAGAGGAAAAGGGGCAATGTGAAGGGTGCTGAATGCCAGCAAGTGGCATCTTCGGAGAGAGCCCACACTAGGGAGGGGCGGGCTAGCATGGAGCCAGAGAGGGGGTCCACTTTGCTTTTAGAGAGACACAGGGGATATGTGGAGAAACCAAACACATGGGATCCAAATGGAGATGTCCCTCCCACAAAATTCATTAGTCCAGATTTTAATAGACCAGCACTAATAACTAGGAAAAATAAAATAACAGGGTTGATCACTCTGAAAAGACAGAAGAAAGAGACAGGGGAGGCAGGGAGAGGGGGAGGGAAAAGGAGGGAGGGAGGGAAGGAAAGGGGGGAAGGGAAGGAGAGAGAGAGAGAGAGAGAGAGGAGAGATTTCTCACCCTAATCCCACAAATGCTACAACCAAGAGGAAGAATCAAAGTGGCCATAGGGAACTTTAATAATGAAGCAAGGGTAGGGGCTACTTAAATTTATTTGATATGACAAATAATAGTTATTTAATCACCTGGTTCCAGAAAGGAAGCAGTACCTGGGACACAAATAATACACATTTTCTCTTCCCACAAATTCTACAGAAATGGGTTCCATCCTCTGGGGCCATTTCCTAGGAGTCCAGGCCCCACTCACTGGGAACAGCACAAGACCCTGCAAACTAGACAGGCAGCTCCTTATGGGCAGGACAGTGTTGCAGACAGCTCCAAGCCCCTCTGGAAGCAGGCAGGAAAGAAAACACACCTGTGCACAGAACCACCCCCACGTAATCAGCACGGCTGCACAATTAATCCAGCCAAATTCTCACTGTCTCTCTGATCATCGTACCCATGCAGGTGAGCCAGGATGATTCAATGGATAAAAGTTTCCATGACAATAACACAGGCCAAGATGGCTCTTTTAAGCCAAGAAGAGAATCTCCCAGGCCCATGTGGATTATAGTCTTGATCAGGAAAAGCCCTCTCTCTCATCCATGAATCCATACTGGGTGAGTGTGGAGATATTATTATAACTCTTTGGGGCTGACTTCTGTAAGGTAGAGTGCAAATAATTTGCATTTTCTGGGTTCTTTCTTATGGTCTGCAATGGGGTGGGCTGTCAATTAAAGAAAGGTGAGGGGAAGGTGTGTGGCAGGGACACTGACCATCAGAGCAGGCAGAAGTGACGAGGGCCTGGGGCGAGAGGGAGGCACGGTGCCTGCCACGTGGTGATGAATTTCAATCACCACTGCCTTGTGCCAGATTTAAATTGGCAACCCACTGAGATGAAACACTTTCCATCCCATTACTCACTCCTGGAGGGAGCCGTTCCCTGGGAGATTGGCTTCCTCGGTGAAGGCAAGGGATGCACGCTCATCTGAAGATACTTTAAATAGCATAAAAGGTATGAAAGGCGTGTGGCCAGAGAGAGGTGACATGGATCTAGGGGGGCATGGAGGGTCCCACAGAAAGCCTGGTGCTTGGGGTGGGAAGGGTGTGGAACTTAAAGGGAAAAGGGATTCAGTTAGGAATGCACCAGCTCCAGCTCCAGGTGCACGGCTCTGCTCTGCTAAGAACAGTGCACGCAGGGCTATTTCTCCTCCAAGTAAGAGGGAAAATGTACTTGGCTCAGTTTGTCAGATATTCACACCAAAATGTTAAAGCCATCCAAAATGTTAAAAAGTAAAAATAGTTTGAAGTAATGCAATTTAACATTTTAACTTCTGAACATTAAGACTCACCTCATCCCATCTGGATTATGGTGTTGATAATCTTTAAACAAAATTGTTTCTTTTTTGTTTCAGTGCTGGGGATTGAACCCAGGACCTTGTGAATGCTAGGCAAGCACTCTGTCACTGAGTTACATTCCCAGCCACTTACTGAATTTCATCTTTAGTAAAAACCTTATTTCAAAATTGAGTACAATACAGTAAAAGAGCTTCTTAAAAAGTCAGAATTCACCAGCACGATGAACACAACTGTGCGAGGAAGGCAGCAGGTAATATGTCAGCACTATTATTTTCCCACCTGTCCCCTGTTTCCAGGACCCCAAGTTTAAGTCATCCATCTGTGCTATGTCTTAAAATATGCCAAGGTCTCAGAGGAAGAGGCACGGAGCACAGTGTACTAGAAGGACCGGGGGAAAAGTTATTAAATGTAAGCAATGACTTTTCAAATCATATCATCTTGGGAAGTAATGAGGGACCATTTCTAATGAAAAAGAAAATGTTTTCTCTGACTTCCTCCATATCTGGAGCTCCAGCTCACTCCAGAATGGCCCAACTCAGGAAATCCTGGGGGCAGGGGGAAAGGAGGGAAAGAGCTCTTGATCTCCACCAGCATCAGCGCCCCTATGAAGGCCACCCCAGGGCTGGCTGAGGGCACCGGGGTCACCAGTGCCTAAGGCTTCTGCTGGCTTTGCTCATGTTTACCCTGATCTGACATGGGAGCTGCCAAGCAGTGCACCTACCTGGTCAGTCCCTGTCTTTCCTCCTCCAGCCCGTCTCCTGAGACCAGCCTGTCCCCACAGAAATGCATTTCAGGATGGACACAGCATGGAGCCACCCTCTGACCCCAGTGTGCTATCTTCACACCAAACTGGCAGCTGAGGCCCTTGTTCCCAAGTGGCATCCCCAGAACGGCCACCTGCAAAGAGATCCCTGGTCCTCCGGGGGCTCACAGTATCCCCTCCCTAGGGTGCAGCAGACCTGCCCACTGCCAGCATGTCTGTGACCTAGGCATGCAACAACAGGTGGAGGAGGGAAGGGATGGAGGACAGAAGGCTCTAGGCTGGCTAAGAGGGAGCATCGCTGCTCCTAGGAGCTGAGGACACAGGTGTTTCAGTGCCACTCAGGGTGGCTCTGGGCCAGGTAGGAGCACTAACTAGAAATGCTCGGTGAGGACCTAAGTCCAGAGATCAAGAGACACATTTAGGGCTTTCATAGCAGTTTGACAGTGATTCCACATCTTGGAAACCTAATAATAAAATAACTGGACTTGAATTCATGTCTGTCCTTGCTTTTTAATTGAATTTTACCAAGAGTTTACTTTTTGCAAAACTATGAAGGACAGTGCATTAAATTAAAAATAGAACAGGTCCCTCATCACAGACAGATTGAGAAACACTGCTTTGTATGATTCTCACTACCTCTGCATCTGTGCTTGCACATCCCAGAATGTAAAGTTAGGATGAAAAAGAATTGCAATTTACTTCTGTCTTGGTTTAAATATAAAATTACAACTTAGCAGAAGAGAAATACAGATTGGTGTTTTATTTCCCTGAGCTCCTTTTATTTTGTCTGAGCACCAGCCTACAGGGTGTGAGGGACAAGTCCTTGGCTCAGAACTCAGGGTGCTCAAACTCATTTTCCTTTTGCTCTTTTGTGAGAACAAAGCCTAGCTCGACCAGGGATTTTTAACTTACTTGAGTGGCCACCCACAAGAACAGGACAAGCCCATGTGTCAGCCCACTTGACCCGGTTTATTTTCCGGTGGGGTTTCATGCACACATGTCTGTTTCCATTGAAAATGACATCTAGGTGCTCCGCCAGTCCCTCTCCCCATTCTGGTCATAATAGGATGCTGAACCTTTTTCATTTTTAAGTAAAAAACTCCTACCCCCCCCACAAGGGCAGCACATAGGGTCTTGTTTGTCACCTGGAGTCCCCAGAGAGGAGTTAAAAACCAGTTTAAAGGCAAACACAGGGGTGAGACAGTAGCTCTCTATTGTCTTGACAGCAGAAGGCCACTTACTGCCTTAGAAGCAAACTGTACACCCCAAGGGGGACTGCTTTTGAGGGAGGGGAAAGAAAATGGAAACCCATGGGAGCATGACCCTAGGCCATTTGTCCTGAGCCACAGCTGCCCATGGGTGGCCCTGCAATGTGTCCCTGCAGGATCCCATGGCTGCTGTGTGGGGTGGCGGTGAAACGGCCACTTAAGGGAAAGGCTGCAGAAGCTTGGGGCACCGCCTGTAAGGGTATGAGCGCCAGCTTCCCTGTAATTAAGAAGCAGCCTGCTCCTAGGAAGACTCTGCTGCCACCCCATCTGCCAAGCCCGCAGGAGTTGGCACTGCGCCGCCCTGCCTGCCACCCCACTACCCACCACATCCTTGGAGACCGCCTTTGATGGAGCGTTGATGCCAAGCTTTTCCAGAGGATAGACAATCTGTCGTCGTGGTCGCACGGGAACCAAGTAATGAAGGGCAGATGTCAGGGAGTGGGCGTAGGGGCTCTGGAGCTGAAAGACAGCAATCTATATTTTAGAGAAGAGAATGTCAGAGAGGCGCAGCGCAGATGTCTGCATGCAGCTTTACAAATACAGAGCTCTCCACGCAGCCAAGTCAGAGGGGGAGACATCAGCAAATAAACAAACATACTCTTCGAGCAGAGGAATGAATTGTAGATAATGCCTGACACTAATGAAGATAATTACGAGAGTAATTACATTACTATCTCTGTGGGAATGACAGATAAACAAGTGGTTTGGTTTATGGGATTTCTCAGTACAAGTATCTTCCCCAGGAGGATATTCTTCTCCACGGCGATCATGAATCAGCTTGATTTGACCCCTTTAAGCTGTGTTATCTGTGTCCTGTTAACCTTTGTGTGTGTGGCACAAGCTGCTTTCGGAAGGCATGGGGTGAACAATGCCATTGAAGGGGCAAGTTAGGGTGGGTATAGACTTCAACTAGACCTTTGTCAATAAAATAAATGTTTTAAGAACAAAAGGATCAAATTGGAAAGTGGGTGTGGGTGTGGGGAAAGCAGTTCATCTTATTTTGGCTTTAAATTATGGGTGGGTTTATGCTGGTTGAAATGGACTGGGGTAAGTCATGTTGGAGGAAAATGCTTTGAATATTTATTTTATCTAGTTTTGAAAACTTCCCAGAGAAAGTTAATTATAGTGATTTTTATTTCTGACACACTAACAAACTCCTAGCTTTGATGAAACCAAAACTCAGGACATAGTAACCATTTAAACCTCAAGAGCTACACTGTGAAACCAAAACTTCTAATGCTGTATCTGTTGAATTTAAGCCAGAAAGCTTAATGAAATGAAAGTAAAGCTGAACTGGAGATGTACCTTAATAAATAAGATGACTTACATAGTATTTATCTGCTCTCCTAAAAAGAGCCCTGGACATTTCTAAGAGCTTCTAAAAAGGTTTCTAAAATCCTTTACCATAGAACCCTGTAGCTGGACTCCACAAATTGAACAGCAGGACCCAGGAATCTGCCATTCAGCCTATAAGTGTCTCTCAGCGGATTCTTGCAGGGGTAGTAGAGGGTACTGCCCTTGTAATTCAAGCTGGAAAGCCCAATTTTGTTGCAGTCAGGTATAGATTTACAGCAGAAGTTGGAAATTCTTACTCAAATTGTTTGGAACTGCTTCTTACACTTGGGGTGTGTGTGTTAGAATTGCAGATGGAGAGGAAATCTGTTTCCAAAGCCTCTGATAGTGTGCCATGCACTCCTAAATCTATAGCATTGTGGTAAATAGATAAACTTTCAGTGAAATGCCCAAGATATTCTTTCTAGTATGGATGTGAACAGAATTTCTCCAACCCAGCACACCCTGGTTGACATCATGAATAAAAACTAAGGATTTCATATCACATCCTGAAGGTCACATAGTTGGGGTCCGGCCAAGTGTAAAGTTAAAAGAAATTGTATAGGAGTAGCATTTTCCATCAAAACTATGACCTTCCCATCATATTAAGTTCAAATCCAGGGCATTTGCATTGTTATAAGATACATCTTGATAGGGAAAACATCACTAGAGCAGAGTCTACATCTCACTAAAAATATTACCTGTGTTTTTCTTCTCTCTTTCCCATCTCCTATACTGGCCCCCAAAGCTTTTGCTCAGTAAGATGCACTGGCTTAATTACTGTTGTGTGTTGTTCTAAGATACTTTGGTATGTTTAATAAATAGTTTGATAAATAAGGTTATTTAAAAATCTGCTAAGCTCCCTTGTGGCAACTCAGAAGAAATGTGATCACATCAAGGACCCTGGGTCCTGAGGGCCTCAGGGCCTAAGCCAGACTCGGATGGCACAGTGCTATGGAGTCTAGAGGCTGCAGCCCTCACCCCAAATCCCCATCAGGCTGAGGACACAGCTGTCAGGCACAGGGCAGCACACAGGGAACAGCTGCACAGGAACCCAGTACCAGTGGGGACCTGCCTGCAGGACCACCAGGACACGATGTGTGTGTGTGTGTGTGTGTGTGTGTGTGTCTGTGCATGTATGTGAGTGTGTGTGCATGTGTGCACAGCTTCCAGACACTGGGAACTCAGCATTGAACAAGGCAAGACACCCTGATGTCCATAGTGGTTGCACTAGTTTACATTCCACCAACAATGCAGAAGTTTCCCTTTTCCCCTGCAATGTGGAGATGCCTCAAAAAACTAAAACTAGAAATTCCATTCAACCCAGCTATTCCTCACCTAGGTATCTTCCACAAAAGACTTAAAGACATCATATTGCCATGATCCATGCACATCCATGTTTAGAGTGGCACAACTCATAGCAGCTAAATCTTGGAAGCAGCCTATATGTATATCAAAAGAAAAATGCAAAAAGAAAATGTAGTATTTAATGCACAATGGAGTACTACTCTGCCATAAAAAGGACAACCTTGAGTCACTTGTAGAAAAATGGATGTACCTTCCAAACATAATGTTAAGTGAAATAAATCAGATACACAGTTTAAATATAGCCTGGTTTCTTTTATATGAGAAATCCAAAGTATAAATAAAGTAAAGAACAAAATAAAAGATAATAGAAACAGGAAGTTAAAACTTTCACAAACGGGAAGAGAATCAAGAGATGGAGCGGAAGGGAAGGGGACAAAGAAAGAATTAAGGTATGTCATGTGCATGTACCAACTCTCTACGATGAATCATTATGTACTGTAAATAGGTACTAATTTTTTTTTAATAGTTTCTAAAGGCAGAGAAAGACTTCTGGCTTCAGGGGACAGTGTGTTCTGTCAGCCATTGAAAGGGCTATGAAGAGCAGTGAAGCAGATCTCCGGGACATGGAGAAAATGATACACATCTGTCTGTGGTGGTTACAATAGTGTGAATGCTGTGCGGCATTTCCTATGTGCTCACCTGCATCTCGACTGTTACCCATTACTTTCACAGATATGGTGACACATCTCATCTGGAGCACTGCAATCTTATGGAATCTGAAAGAATAGAACTGATTTCTCCCATTAATCCATCACCACAGTGATCTCTGCTTGGAGAAACACGGTAGGACCACTGTGGCCTTGCCCTAGTGCACCAGAAGAAACCATTCCATCTCCAAGCCTCTTGCAACTTCTGAGCATGGTTTTCAGTCTCTGTTTTGTCAATACAGAGAAGCCAACAAATTATTCTACTAGTTACACTGCCCTAGTGATTGTGCTGGAACCCAAAGCCTTCTGGACTTTCACTGTCGTGTAAGAAAAGGACCAAACTCAACAAAGCCATGGGGAATTGAGACACAGCATATAATCAAACCCTGTCCAGGGAGGCATGAACAGCTGCAGCAGAGCACCCTGGGCACCTTGTGCACCCTGGCCTGCAGACAGCAGGCACAGTGTTCTTACCTTGCCATCCCGGGGCTGTGGGTACACAGGGTAATAGAGACAGGTCTTGGAACCCAGGCGAAGGAGCTCCTTCAGAAAGAACTTTGTGTAGTGCCGGAAAGCAGGGTTCAGGGCAAAGTGGTGCAGACGCCCGTGCTCGTCCCGCTGGTGGTGGCTGAAGTAGATGAAGTCCTCAATGTTGTAGTGGGAGCGTATGTACTCTATGTCCTGCAGAGGTGAGGAAGGGCATTGGAAACCAACTCCAGGCATGTTGTGATAAATACCCAGGAAAATAACCTTATAGCTGGGCGTGGTGAAGCACCCCTGTAATCCCAACCCTCAGGGAGGCTGAGGCAGGAGGACCTCAAGTTCAAGCCCAGCCTGAGCAACCTTTAGCAAGACCTTGTCTCAAAGTAAATCTAAAAACGGGCCCTGGGTTCAGTCTCCAGTAATACACACACACACATAGACACACACAAACAATTATTTTAGGTACAATAGTAGAAAGGTGTTTTTCTCTCTTACCATCTACCACCTTGTTTTTGTGGTGAATTTTTAAAATTAGAAATTATGTTTCCTGAAAGTTTCTGGCTCTGAAGACTGGTCTTGCAGGACAGCTGCAGAACTCTGGAATTTGTTCCTCTCCCCATGGCTGCTATCAGTGCAGAAACCTCCTGTCAGAAGCCCCTCACCAGGCTGGACATGAGCTTGAGCTGGTCCGAACAGGTAAGCGAGCCCCTGGAGACCCAAGGGGGGCAGCAGAGCCCCTGGAATTCCCTGCTGGGGTGCCACTCACCTGGCGAGGTGAGAATGTGCCAGCTCAATCACACACATGGACTGGAATGTCTGGCTAAGCCATGAGACCAGGCCCCTCTTTAAATTTCCTCTTCTCCAATTAAAGGACCGATGATTTTTTCGGTGCTGGGTCCTGGGCACCCTTTGTCCCCTCCACACTGCACTGAGAAGCAGTGGCCCAGCTTTTCTCGAGTTGCCTCACTGTTAAGGGCTGGGAGTGGAGGAAGCAATCCAAAGGGAGTGGGGTATGGTGACAGCAGGCTCTATTCTAGACACATAGGCCTCCCTGACTCTGCCTTATCTTCTGGCATGCAGCAGTAACCCCACCTCAATACACTTGAAGTGCAGGAGAAATCAACTCCAAGGCAGATCAGAAAACACTGATTTAGATTGCCTATTGCTTTCCTTTCTGAAGGACAACTGGTTTGAGAAGGGACATTAGAGAGTGCAGAGAACTCTCTGATTTATCCTGTGTGCAGGAGGCTGGGACCAGCAAATCATGCAGACTGGGAAGTCTGTGGCCAAGCCCCACAAGGTCCCTTGTCTTTCAGCTTTGCCACAAAACATAGAGAAACTGGGTCTTGGGGGTCCCCAGGATGGGGGTAGCACACAGGGCAGCTCTGGCCACCTTTTAGTCTGGGTTGACCTTGTGGTGTTCAGTATACTGTAAGACTTTTCATTAATTACCATTATAAAATAAGATGAGTAATACGTGTAAGGCAGAGAAATCGCTGAAAAGCAAAAAGCAAAGAGCCAACAGCAGTTATTAGCTCACAATGGCAGATGGGCCCTGTGTGTCTAATTTTCCTCCCACTTCAGATCCCTTAAAATAACCAAAAGAACTATGTTTTTTAAACAGTGGAGGTGAACTGAGGGGCCAAAACTTAAGGCAATTTTATCTTGAAAGGAAACTCTACCACTCAGTTAAACCTTCCCACCTTGGGCCACTTGGAGGTTTGTGCTTCCCATAGGTACAATATCCAAACACCAAGAGGAAGCCAGACAGTGGCTGTCACCCTGTCAATCAGGCAGCAACAGGAGCGATTTGATGGAGAAGCCAGTGGGCATGACTGTCCACCACTCCTAAGCAGCCTGGACCTCACTGACAACTTAATCTTTCACTCAGGACAGACTTGAGAGAAACAGAGTAAAACAAAATCCAGAATGGAGAGACACACTCCTTGTTATAGAGGAAAGAGAGTATTCAAAGAAAAGGGGAGAATCTTACAAATCTACATAATATCTGCAGAGATAGCAAAGAGGATCTTGTGTGTAGTATAACAAATAAATCAATCCCACCAATGAAAATACCAATAGCATACCTCACAGAACTAGAGAAAACAATCCTAAAATTCATTTGGAACCAGAAGAGACCTAGAATAACAAAAGCAATTCTGGGCAACAAAGGGAAGGTAGGGGGCATCACAGTCCCTGACTTGAAATTTACTATAAAGCTACTGTGGTACAAACAGCATGGTACTGGCAGAAAAATAGACCTGAGGAAAATGGAACAGATTAGAAGATGCAGAAACAACTCCAAACACACTCAGCCACTATATCTTTGACAAGGGGGCCAAACACCTCCACTGGGAGAAAGATAGCCTCTTTAATAAGTGGTGCTGCAAAAACTGGCTTTCCACATGCTGAAGATTAAACTTAGACATATATCTCTCACCATACACTAACTAAAATCAAAATGGATCAAAGATCTTAATATTAAAATAGAAACACACTAAGTCCGCTGGAAGATAGAATAGGTAAGTAGAAAATGTAGGTATATGGAAAGACTTTATGAACAAAACCCTGATCACACAGGAAATATTACAAAGAATCAACAACTGGGATCTTATCCCACCCAGGGATTTAACTCAGTGGTGCCGCCATCTGCCTCGCAAACGCAAGATCCTGAGTTTGACCCCTGGTACCA